TCTGATGGCTGTAGGCATTCCTTGGCTTGGCTTTCTGTCCATTCACTGCCTCCCTTTTCCCACGGCCAGCTACCATGCCCAATGGCTAACCAGAAGATTGGGGGTCAAGTCCACCCAAATGCTTCTCACAAGAAAGGTCTGGCGATCTCCTTCTGTGCATACCCTGTAGGGTATGCACAGGTCTACCCCGACACCCCCACGGCTTCACCGGGAGGCCAACTCGACGCCACAGCAACTGGTTGGTTTGTGGGTGTTCCCTGTGGGTTTTCCCTAAAGGGTTGATTGGCCCTTTAGCCCGGGAGGAGGCTCTCTCTGCTCCTCGCCATCTTCCCCACCTCGGGGTGCTCTGCCCCATCTTTATTCCTCCTGAAATGATCTCGTACAAAGCAGCCTAGAACCAGGGCCCTGGGCTCACCCACAAATTCGTGCATTTGCTTGCCTGTGTTCGCTAGTGTTTGTTCCTGTGATCCTTTTCCATTCTGGCCTCCTCCCCAGAGTCCCTCCCACTATCACGGGCCCCTCCGTAGGACACAGCAGGGACACACGGACTTCCCAGGCTTGCATCCTTGCCCTGGGAAGAAATCTTAAACATCCGTTTAAGAACGGAGAGCCTTTGGAGTGTTGTGGGACCTGCTGTCCCTTCAGGCCTACCCACCTCAAGTGAACTTGGTTTAGACTCTCTTGCCCCTCTCATTCCTTTTGAATCCTCCCCAGAACTAAGAACCACTGCTCACTATGACCGATTCTCCTGTTGCTAGGCAGCGAATGCAGAGCTCCACGTGCTCCCTTGGTCCAGGGAGAGGCTTGGACCGTGAGCTCCAAGAAGCGAGTACAGTATAGTGCTGCCAAGAGGAAGGCGAGGAGGAGCTGAGGCCCAGAGATGCTGCAAGTCATCGTAGAGTCGGTCAACATTGACCCGCCCCAGAGCCCCCCACTGGATCTGTGTGTGACCACCTACTTCAGAGGTGAGAGCCAAGGCCCCCAATGGGGAGAGGGGAGCCCCCAATGTTCATTCACGGACAAATCTCTGTTTAAGGCTGCCTGTCTGTGTAAAGATGCTCTGTGTGACGCACACATGAAGATACACGGTCAGTTCTTTAAAAACGCTCTCTTTATTATTTCTTTTAGTAGAACACCTCTGTCTCCCCACCACGGCTTCTCCTCCCCACCCCCCCGGGCCCCCGAGAATGACGACGAGAAAGAAAAATTAAGAAAACAAAAACAAATGCTTCTTGAGCGTCTATGAACTAGGGCTATGCCATCAATGGAGGCTTCCAGGGCAAAAAAAACCAAAACCATTTCTACCATATAGGACTACTGTGAGGATTTAAAAAAATAGCCTCTGGTGTCATTTCTAATAATGATGGGTCAATAATATCAGTCACTTTTGAGATGCCAACTTTCACAATGTTTTTTATTAATTTCAGACTTCAGAAGTTGTTAAAGACCCTCCATTCATTCATCTTTGACATTGGTGATTGTTATGTGAATTTGAATGAGTCATAATAACTGGTTTTCCTTGTAGACTAGTACTCTGTCACTGTGCAGGCTGTCTCCCACCACCGACAGATTATGCTTCAGAATAGATCCCGAAGTGTTCTTTTTG